CCACACTGTGTTTGAGAGAAGAACTCAGCCTAAACATGCAGGGTGTGTGTGTGTTAATTAAACATGTGTGAATGAAACAAAACACAACTCCGGGTCTGTTTGTGATCACGAAGCAACATTAAAACACAGATCAGAAAAAGCGTAATATGGGCCATTTTTTAGATTCATTTCAAACCAAGACTGCACTTTGAATTCATAGTTGAGTGGGTTAACCCTTCCAGATCGACAAGTTTTATATAACCACGCATAACTTTCCAACCATAAAAGATAGAAACTTACTTTTTTTCAGTTTTTTTCAGACAGTCGCGGCTTTCCGAGCATATTTCCGGCATTATCCTACGTCACACGCTGCATGATTGCGTCAGGAAAACGTGTGTCCAATAGGAACTTTCTTTTCCTCCAAACTCATGCGCTCTGTCCATTTCGATCGGCCCAAACTTTGCCAAAAAGTGTAATGAGTCAAAATGGTCGATGCTCTGAGCGTCTGTGTTCATAACAATTGAAAAAGCCGCTCTACGTGCAGGTATTTCTCAAGTAAATGGAAAATTACCCGAGCCTGATTCATCAGCCGGTTTCACTTTGTGGAAACCGGCTGACCTCGCTGCATTAGGATTCATTTTCTTGACCGGTTCCAAAAAGACAGACCATATTACACACATCCCAGCCCAACTCCACTGGTTACCTGTTGAATACAGAGTTGATTTTAAAATTGTATTATTTGTTTTTAAATCACTTAACTCACTTGTGCCACAATACATCACTGATCTTTTAACGCCCCACACAGCCTCCCGGTCTCTCAGATCAAACTCGCTCAACCTCCTGTCCGTTCCAACATCCCGCCTCAAAACCAGGGGAGGCCGAGCCTTCTCTGTTCTTGCCCCCAAGCTTTGGAATTCCCTCCCTCTTCACCTGAGATCTTGCTCCTCCCTATCTCACTTTAAAATCCACCTAAAAATACATATTTTCAAGATGGCATTTAAGCTCTATTTTAAACTATTATCTTTGTGCATCAAGTAATTATGTTGTGTTTCATGCTGTAAACCACTTTGGTGCAACTCATTATGGTTGTTTTAAATGTGCTATATAAATGAAATGACTTGACTTGACTTGACTTTACTCAACGGTAAGCGGGTACTTTTTTTCTTAACCAATCGCTGGTATTTGGTCGAGACGTGTGTAATGCTCCAGAACACTCGGTGGTGTCCAAGTACTTGCCGGCTTCACAGCTCTTTGCTGATTGGCCGGTGCGCGGTCTACAACTTCCAGGTTTCTTGTGTATTCTGATTCCTGACGTTGTCGCTGGAGAGAAATGAAATTGAGCGGAGACACTAGGTGGCAACAGCTTGACTAAAATTACGCATCTTGGTCTGAGTAATTGCGCATCATTTGCTATTTTTATTTGAAAGATTTATTTCAGTCCAAATGTAATAAACCCCAGGGCACCAGGAAAGTCATGGGGCCATTGCATTTTTTTGTTAGTTTTTTTGTTTTGAGGCAATAAGGATATTTTTAGTTTGCAAAGTTTGGAATGCAGGAGTGCTACTTGGATATACAAAAATGTGCTGAATTGTCTTTTTGGTGCTCTTCAGTGTCTCAAAAACAAAGTAGGAAAAAAACTGAGGCACTCAAAAAGTACAAAATAATGAAAAGTCTTTAATACGACATGGCAGATAAAGTTAAAATCACATCAACGCGTTTCGTCCGTTTCGCTTCATCAGGGCCAACTCTTACTTACAGACTTGATATTTTGCACTTTTGTAGCTAAGGCCCTAAAGTAAGCGTTTTAATTTCCAAAAAGTTGTTTATACATGTTTGAGTGTTTAGTATGAAAGAGTGTGACTTTTATTTTCTGCTTTTCTGGTTCTATATCTTTTATTCCAGCCATATGACAAAACTACAGCAGCAGATTGTGAAATAACAGGTTGTACTGGGAAGAAAAATGATGTATAACACTTCATTAGGGGGTAAACGGGGGAGTTGTAAACGCAAAATGAAGAAAAAAAAAAGGTGAGGGCAGATGTGCTCAAATTGCGCTAAGGTCTGGAAGGGTTAAAGCTGGAGAAGAGAGTTTTATCTGGTGTGTCTGAGCTGTGGGAGTGTCTGCTCAGAGACATGACAGAGAATATTTAGACACAAGCCCAGCTCCATTCATAACTGTTTCCAGCGTCCCTCCCTAACGCACAGACAGCCACATTTCACACACATTATCTCATATTTTGTGCACTTTTCACAGGCCCTCTGAGGCGGGGGGGTAAGAGGAATCAGAGGAGGGGCAGATGGGGCAGAGGAGGAGGAGGGGGGGGCAGATAGGGGCAGAGGGAGCCTTGTTTTGGAGAGAGGAAACTCGGTGTGTGTGTGTGTCAGCGTTTACAGGGTGGGGTGCAAGTCCTGATTATGTCACGCCAGAACAAGGCCAAAGGAGGGAAAAAAGAGGGAATGAAAACAAAAGAGGGGGTTTGAGAGAGAGAGGGAGACGACCGGAAGTTGAAATCCATTATGTCATACTTGTTCGAGGAAAGCACCTTTAAAAAGAAACTCTGGAACTTTCCTGATTCGTTTTAACAGCTGTTGTGCTTCATGATAACAGTAAATCTATAACATTGTACAAGTTTGTTTACAGGTTTTTATTTAAAGGGCCTAGATTAGACTGTTTTCTGAGGTTATTATGTAGTTTCCTTGTCCCAAAAAGAGCTGGAGTTGTGTTTTGCTTCATTCACGCACAAACCCTGCAGATTAAGACTGAGTTCTTCTCTCATACAGAACATGTGATATTACAGGAAGCGCTCCACTGTGTTTTTAAACTCCACACACCTTCACTAGAATGCATGGTGTGATTTATCTGGCAGTCATCCGCTTTGTCACGGGTGTTTACCATTTACCACCATCACTGCACATTTTACTCCCTGGTGAAGCGTCCCTCTCTCCACACCCGCAGACAAACCCACAGGTTATTGTTCATTTATAAGGCTACGTCCACATGACAACGCTCCTGGAGTTTTTCCTTTTGTGGGCTGAAAAAAATTCACGTCCACACATGTGTCAGATCAATAAATACTCACGTCCACACGACAACGCAGCACTGAGGTAAACCGATGTAATGCATCTGCCACACCTGTATGTGGCGCTGTTAATGATGATAATATTGCCGTAATTTAGCCGATTTTAGATGTATCCCAGAAATATAGCAGTTTTGTTTTGCAAAAGTCAAACACAAGTTTTTGTTTTTAGCCATAAGATTTGGATGAGAATTATTAGAATAACTTGGTCTTAAAATCCAACTGTTTAATTACTCGTGTGTAATTGTTGTTATTGATCCGTGTGTGTAATCTGCGGTGCGTGTTGTTAGCATTGGCGTTAACAGCATGTCTCCGTTGCTGGGCGACAGGTGCGGCTCTGCAGGCTGCACCTGTCACATTTCAGCAACGGTCTTGTGGTCTGTGGAGGCCAGTTTGAGGGCTGCGTCCTTCTCTGCATCGTTGGACACTGGCAAATGACGAGATTGTGACGTCATCGTTTTCCAAAAGCTGCGGTTTGTTTGTCCACACGACAACGCAACTCCAGCGCTCTCAGATTTCTCCACTCTGGAACCCGTTCTCAAAAAACACAGTTTTCGCACACCCAAAACACCGGCTCCATGTGGACGAAAGGTCAAAATGAATACAAACTTCACAACATTGTCGTGTGGACACGCCCTAAATGTTTAATTGGTAAAACTCCGTCCTGCCTCAGCTCACTCCTGCACATTCACTGCTCCAGATGCACACTTTGCTCCAACAGATACACAACTCTGGTCGTTCCTAAAGATCACTCAGCTTTCAGTCGCTCCTCATTTCAGTTCTGCAGTAAGTGACTGGAACCACCTTCAGCAGACTTTGAAACTTAGTTTGTTTTTACCTCTGTCGACTTTTAAAAACTCCATCCAGACTATTTTACAGGATCATTGCACAAGCTTTTAACACTTTTATATCTTTAATCTGCAAATGTTTCACTGTCTTACATCTTTATTCATAAATTAAAAAAATAAAATAAAATAATCATTTGGATGATTTCAGACTTGGAATTTCCCATCTCCACTGAAGACAAAATGTGGCTCTTAAATTAAAAACTATCGCTTCCTGAGATAACAAAGTGGAACAGATCAATTTGAGCTTGGGAGAGTCAAACTAATAATGCAGGTTTACTCAAACATGTGACCGAAACACAACACAACTCCACGTCTGTCCAGGTCTGTTTTTGAAGTGTTAACAACATTCTGATGAAATTCAACTTTGAGTAATCTGATAATGAGTAAATACATTCTTAACAAGGTAAAATGCTAATTTTGCACAATATGTCCCCTTTAAAGATGCAGTGCAGAGGTGTGCAAAAATATGGAAATATCGATATATCGTATTGTAAAAAGTGAGGAGCCGGGGGAAGACTGTAGTTTTACAAGGAGGATTCATGTGGTTCGGAGGGACATAGTCAAGGCGCCACAGGAAACACTGAGTATCAATATCATGGACTGCTGTACTGATATATCGCCAGTATTTTTTGGTATATTTTACTAAATTATTTTGTTACAGAGCTACAGTTTTGTTGCTTGTTTAGAAGAAGGAAATTCATTTATGCGACACATTTGACATTTTCACTGTTTTGATGATTAAAATGTTTGTGTTTCATATGAACTTTGTACAAGAAGTGGTTTAACAAAGACTTTTCGTATCACAGACATGATTTAGACTTTTTTTAAAAATTGAACTGTATCGAATTGATTTGAAATATATCGTATCGAATCGAAAGCTCACTATATCGAGGTAAGTGGTGTTACCTGGGACACAGTAGGGTACAGAGGGGCTGTATAGGGTTATGTGGGTTTATCTAGGAGGGTACCTGGACGTAGGTAAACAGTTAAACATCTTTTTTTGTTTTTGTAGTCTGAAGGGGGGAAATCGTATCGAAAACGGTTTTGGAGAAAAAAATCTACAGTTTTAATTTGAGGCAGTTTTATCCAGTCCTACCTGAACATAGAGCAGGTTGAGCTGCACTGGGTCTCTGGAGTCCACGTTCTGGTCGGAGTAGAAGAACTTTCTCCTGAGCAGCAGCATCTCACTCTCCTCCACTCCCTGCTCCCGAAACGTGCGGCTGTGGTCCAACCAGTTCACTGACAAAAACACACAGAACACTTTAGAATGAATAATGAAGTGAACTAAGCGAGTGTGACGTCGCCCCTCGTGTTCGGCTCCAGTCAAGTGAAACTCACGATGCCAACGATTACAGAGGAGAATTTGGAGCTCCACATTAGGAATAGGATTTTTTTAAACTGACAAAATAGCAAAATAAAAACACCAGGATCATGCAGAGCGGGTTAATACGAGCACTTTAAGACCAGAATGATGAGACTCACTACAGCAGTTACAGAGAGAGGGGAGACAATATTCTAATCTAAGTTAATGGGAGCCGGGGTCAGGAGGAGCCGGAAGCGTCCGCATGTGAACTTCCTATTTGGAACGCAGCGGCTAATGCTGTGTCCATTTATATATAAAGTCTATGGCTGTGAAAACCAAGTCTCACACAATATTGTCTTGTATCAAAACAAGATACTACCATACTTTTCGGACTATAAGGCGCACTTTTTTCATGGTTTGGGTGTTTCTTGTGACTTATACTCCAGTGCGACTTATATATAAAATTTTCACATTGACGCCACGAGAGGCTCTAGTCTTGTGTGTGAGTATCTGCTGCTCCTGTTGCTCCTGTACCACTGTCACTTCACTCTACTGCGCATGCCTCCTTCAGAAAGAGCCACTGTCCTGCTGCAAGTAGTGAAATATTCAGCTGAAAATGGTGATCAAGTAGCAGAAAGAAAGTTTGGAGTGAGCGGGAAACATGAGAGACTGGTGGAAAGCGGGGATGGAGAACACAGCTTCACAGCAACCTGGAGGATGCACCATGAAACCTTTCCTGAAGTCACTGGATGGATGGACAAAGCCTGGACTTCAGTGACACCGAAACCATCCTGTCGGGATTCAGAAAGGCCGGAATAATTCTAACTGGAACTGATGCTGAGTCTGACGACAGCTACCGTCAGCGCCAAGTTGCTCAGAAGTGACACCGAGGATGAAGAATTGAATGGATTTAGTGATTTGGAGTGAGATGGAGAGTTTGGTAAACTTGTTCTGTTGTTTATGTTATAGTTTATCTGAAGAACTGTTCATATGTGACGTTAACAGTCTTTTGTTCTCTCTTCTATTGTTTTTACTAGAATTTGCCTTTCAACAGCAAATGTCAGTTTCTGGTCTCTGATTTTATAAAATATTTTTCCCCCAAGTGCAAGTCCAGTGTGACTTATGTTTTTTTCTTCTTCATTACGCATTTTTTGGCTGGTGCGAGTCATACTCCGGAGCGACATATAGTCCGAAAAACACGATATTTTGAGCAGGTATCAATACAAAAAAAAATTTACATAAACAGGACATTTTACCTTTTCTGAACTAGGATAAGACCCCGTGTTTAAGTAGTGATGGTGCTGTAATTTTGTGTTGAAAATTACAATCTATAGAGCATTTTTATTAACCAAATGGTATTGAAATCAGGATCAAGCATCAAGCCTGTTCTTTATTTATGAAATCAAGTTTGAAATGTTTGTACTGTGATGTGTGACAGACGTATAAAATATTATTCTCCTTCACTCATTGTCCCATAAGGAGCCGTATAGAGTGATTCTTTACACAATCTGTGGATCTGTGTGTGGATCAGTCTGTGGACGGACACTCACAGTCGTCGTCCGTGTGCAGTTTGGCTTTGAGTTTCTCCATCTTGCGCTCGTCCCGCAGCAGCAGAGTCCGGTCCTTCTTCAGGGTCCCTGTGGTCTCCTCTTTTTTGTCCTCGACTGTCTCCTGAATCAGAGAGTACTCCTCGTAGTTGGTGATTCCTGAAAAGTTAAATAAAAGTTAAATGTTAAGACTGTATTGATTCTGTGTGTGAAATTAATATTGAAACACATCATCAAAAATCAAAAATAGGGATTTTTTTTGTCTTATTGCCCTGGTGGTGGTTAAGTCCTGGCTAAAGCCTGTTTTAGTCCTGTTTTTAGACCCGTTTTAGACCTGCTTTAGTCCTGGTTCAGACCTGGTTTAGTCCTGATTCAGTCCTGGTTTAGACCTGGTTCAGTCTTCCTGGTTCAGTCCTGGTTCAGCTCTGGTTTAGTCGTGGTTTAGACCTGTTTCAGTCCTGGTTGAGTCCTCCTGGTTCAGCTTTGGTTTAGTCCTGGTTCAGCTTTGGTTTAGTCCTGGTTTAGTCCTGGTTCAGCTTTGGTTTAGTCCTGGTTCAGCTTTGGTTTAGTCCTGGTTTAGTCCTGGTTCAGTCCTCCTGGTTTAGTCCTGGTTCAGTCCTTCTGGTTCAGTCCTGGTTTAGTCCTGGTTCAGTCCTCCTGGTTTAGTCCTGGTTCAGTCCTCCTGGTTTAGTCCTGGTTCAGTCCTCCTGGTTTAGTCCTGGTTCAGTCCTTCTGGTTCAGTCCTGGTTCAGTCCTCCTGGTTTAGTCCTGGTTCAGTCCTTCTGGTTCAGTCCTGGTTCAGTCCTCCTGGTTTAGTCCTGGTTCAGTCCTTCTGGTTCAGTCCTGGTTCAGTCCTCCTGGTTTAGTCCTGGTTTAGTCCTGGTTCAGTCCTCCTGGTTTAGTCCTGGTTTAGTCCTGGTTCAGTCCTCCTGGTTTAGTCCTGTTTCAGTCCTTCTGGTTCAGTCCTGGTTTAGTCCTGGTTTAGTCCTGGTTCAGTCCTGGTTTAGACCTGGTTCAGTCCTGGTTCAGTCCTTCTGGTTCAGTCCTGGTTCAGTCCTTCTGGTTTAGACCTGGTTCAGTCCTGGTTTAGACCTGGTTCAGTCCTGGTTCAGTCCTGATTTAGACCTGGGGGATTCGCGCTTTCGCTGCCTGGTACCAAACGACCCACATCCCGGGGGCCCCTGGGTTTAAGTATTTGTTGGTACCCGATATCACCCGATACCAGAGCAGAAACTGAAAACAACATTTCCTTAAAACAAAACGGCTTTGCATAAATAAAAGTTCAAACGTTATGAGACGTTCTGGGACGACTATGAACAGTAAATGGTCATATTACATAATTTTAAATGCCCCGGATATCAGCTGAACCAATATTTACAAGGCAAGTCTGACATCCGATACCACAATCAGATTAGTGCATCCCAAGTAACTACATCAGTGGGCTCCAAACAAGTATCTCCAGACATGCATTCTTTACTCAGACATTTTTGTTTTGTTTTGTTGGACTGATTAAACTTTTGCATTTATCTCCAGGGCCTGTTGCCTGGTTTATAAACTATAAACTTACTAGTTACTGTATTGAATGCTGTGTAAATGATCGGAGTCTACATGTGTACTGTACCCAGTGTTGGGAAGGTGACTTTTAAAATGTATTCCCCTACAGAGTACAGATTACATACCTCAAAATGTAGTTTGTAATGTAATCCATTAAATTACTTAAAGTGAGTAATGTAATCTGAATACTTTGGATTACTTGATTTGCTGTAGAGAAGCAAAGACGAGGAAACTGTAACATAAGATGTTTTCTTTGCTAAAATAAAAAGTCCAGTCTTAACCATATTAAAAATATTATTGATAGAAGAGGAGGAGACACCGGTCCATGCAGCATGGTTTAGTCCTGTTAAGTCCTGGTTTAGACCTGGTTTAGACCTGGTTTTAGTCTTGGTTTAGTCCTGTTAAGTCGTGGTTTAGACCTGGTTTAGACCTGGTTTTAGTCTTGGTTTAGTCCTGGTTTTAGTCCTGGTTTTAGTCCTAGTTTAGACCTGGTTTAGACCTAGTTTAGACCTGGTTTTAGACCTGGTTTAGACCTAGTTTAGACCTGGTTTTAGTCTTGGTTTAGACCTAGATTTAGTCCTGGTTTAGTCCTAGTTTAGTCCCGGTTTATACCTGGTTTTAGTCCTGGTTTGGTCCTTGTTTAGTCCTGGTTTTAGTCCTGGTGTAGTCCTGGTTTAGTTCTGGTTTAGACCTGGTTTTAGTCCTGGTTTAGTCCTGGTTTAGTTCTGGTTTAGACCTGGTTTTAATCCTGGTTTAGACCTGGTTTGGACCTGGTTTAGTGTCCGGCAATGAGTGGAACTACCAAAAAAAAAAAAAAGGATACAGTCCGAAATGTGAAAACAGGAAAATACCGCCGTGTAATCCATTTATTTCAACAAAGTAACTGTAATCCAATTACCACTCACTGAAACAGTAACTGTAACCGAATACAGTTATTCATAATTTGTACTCTGATTACATAACTCTGGTACATGTAATCTGTTACTCCCCAACACTGACTCTACCTATTCTACTGCAGATCGTGACCAGCAGTTCTCCCACTGTCTTCGAGTCGTCCACCATGATGGTCTTGACCGCTCCGTCCAGCATTTTGATCTTCTGAGGCCGCTGCTTCTTCTTGTACTCCAAAATATCCTGGACACAAACAGACACAGCACTGAAATTGAGTTTTTTTTTCTACATTTATTCATCAGGTCGAGTTATTTAGACCAAGCAGTATACAGAAAAAGCTACTTTTAAAAATGTATATATATATACCCCACCCCCCACATACTGAAGCTTTGAAAAATAGGGTAGAAACAAAACTAATAAGCACAAAAAAGCCTGATGTATCATATGGTCGAAACCCTATGCATGGATTCAGACTACATTTATATGATGAGGGTTTGAACAGAAGACACAAAAGTGGCGTCGCATCTTCACTTTTTATTCCGTGTTTAGACGAGCGTTTTCGGGAGGAAATCTGTGTGTATACGGTGCAAAAGTGTGTGGAACTGGAATGAGTATGCATTCCAGGCAGCTATGGCTACATGTTTGTTTCTGTGTATGTGTATGTATGTGATGTAAACACGTACATGACCTGAGCAGATCTGACCAGAGTTTTGCGTCTTGGGCAGTGTAGACGGAAACGCTACGATGGAGTATATTCATCTTTTCCACTTTAGAGGGTGGTTTTAGATTTTTGCGTTTTTAAGCCCCAAAAACCCCGTCACCGTCTAATCCAGAGGTGTCAAACTCAAATTCACAGAGGCCAAAATTAAAAAACAGGGACTAAGTCATGGGAAAAACTAATTTATTGAAAAATTTCAACAACATCTGCACGTTTTCTCTTCTTTCGACATATGTAATGTTAAACATTTTCTTATTAAAATATATGTTAATAATAGGTTTGCTGAAACACTGAATCCAGAAGAAGTGTAATATAAAATAATAACAACATTTTAAATAAATAATGTCTCTATAGTCTATCTGTAGCCAGTGAGCAGCTCTAAGACTACGTTCACACTGCAGCCTGAAGTGACTCAAATCCGATTTTTTTTGGCCCCATGTGACCTGTATGTTTTATTGACAGTCTGAACGACACAGATCAGATTTTTTCAAATGTGACCCAGGCCACAGAGCACGCTCGCTGTGGTTGACGTCGTCGTGTTTCCAGTGCACATGCAGGACACTTTTGGGCAGTTTAAATGTGAACGACTTCGCAAAAACATCGGATTTCACACTAAAAATTCAAATTGAGCATTAAGCCCTGCAGTGTGAATGTAGCCTAATACATACTTGATATGATCTCGCGGACCAAATATAATTATATCTCGAGGCAAATTTGGACCCTGGGCCTGAATTTGCCATGTCTGGTCTAAACGAAAGGCACTTCCGATAAAATATTTTGTTGTTTTTACCTGCAAGCATTCTCATGTAAACAGGCCCTAAGTCTCTGAGTTTGTAATGAGCCTGGTTTATTTGTGTTGAACTTTAATTACTTTAAATGCAGTACATAAAATGTGCTACAGGTGGCAGTGTATCGATATTTACAAAAGAGAAAACTTTTTAACTCTGTATTACTGCAATTAAAAGTCTAACAAAGTCAAAACTTGTCATGTTAAATGAATATTGAGAAGCAAAAGCAGCCGAATATGACTTTTGATGGTAGATTTTACAAGTTTTTGTGTTTTTATTTTCTTCAAACTGACATTAGATGCACTGGTCCAGCTCTTTCAGTTCCGATACTGATTCTAATACTACAGTTTCAAGAAATTACCAATACGAGATATCCACCAATACCAGAGCTGAGACTGACAAAAGCATTTATGTCCACTAAACAAAACTAAAACACGACAAAACGGACCCAGATGTGTTATTGTGTATATGTGTTAGCTGTTATTTATCCCACAAGTAACCACAGAACAGCTTTGTATAAAAAGAAATTCAAACATTCTGAGACTTTCTGGGCCGAGTACAACAGTAAATAGTCTAATTAGTGCGTTTATGTGTCCAGCCATCCAGCAATTTTTTTCTGTATCGGCGCCGAGATCCTACACGAGTATCAGATCAGTGCAGCCCGAGCTTTTTGATAGAAGACCGACGAATTTTCACAGAATATTTTGGTGTGAATAAGACATGGAAGATAATTAGTTTAATCAGATTTTGGACTTTGAATTTTTTAACTCTGAAAAAACATCTTTAATCTTTTAATCTGAATGGCAGCTGACTAAATTTAAAGTTTACATTTTTTAAATGTTTAAAATTCAATATAAAAAAATCTAATTGCCTTTTAAATATTCAGCACAAATATTTTCAAGCCCTCAAATTCAGCAGTTAAAATTCAGAGAGTAAAATTTGCAGTGAAAAAAATTCACAGGAAAGATCCAATATGCCAAGGCAGAAGCAATCGATCCGGAGTGATGCGATCTAATTTAGTAACAAACAGGAAATGGTGCAGTGAAGCGATCTGATTGGTCAGAATTAGCCTCATCAAAACCTCAAACCCCGCCCACAGAGGAGATTGGCCAATAGGAAAGAGTCTCAGTTCTCCTCACTCACACACAATCGATTGCTTCTGCCTTGGCATCTTGAATCTTTGCTGTGAAATGTTACCCTGCGTTAGAGATGCGCAGACTGCGGTTTAGCCGCGGGTCGGGCGGATGACGTGACGAAAAGTAATATTTTAATTAAATTCGGGCAGGTGGCGGTCTAACTACTCAAATAAAAAAAAATATATATATTATAGCCTATATTGTTAACTGTTATGAGATAAGCGTCTTTACTCCTATGCGCAATGTTTAGAGTGGCTTGAGCGTGAGTGAGTGACTGCGTGTGCGCCCCCGAGGCAGAGTGTACGGGTGTCTATGTTTTACTGTATGTGAAATGAACGGTCGGAAGGCGACCGAAGCGAGTCAGGAAGAAAGTGTCCTGTTATTTAGTGAATCACGGCAAATAATGCCATGATTCTTGAGCAACGAACTGGCGCGTTTATTGAGCCCACGCACTCACGGTGAGGTTCTGAACAGGGAGTTAAACCCTGAGCAACGAGCGGCATTTTGTTACGGACAATTAATAATGTGAACATGCACACTGAGCGAATTTTGGAATGAATGAGCTATAGAGTTTGTATTTTTATTGAAGCTCCTTAGTTTGTTTGCTATATGATTGTTCTAAAATCTAAAATCAGTGGGCAGATTGCGGGCGAGTGCGGTTTCGAAAATTGGTCAAAACCTTGGGTGCAAATGGACAGCGGGCGGATGATGAGTTTTGTGTCACGGTTGCGGATGAAAAAATAGCCCAACCGCGTATCTCTACCCTGCGTTCGATTATCTTTCTGTATCGGTTTTCCGAGGAAGTTGCCTAGTGACACGGGTGACATGTCACTTTTTCTGGGACGGTGCGACTTGGACCTTGGTGGAGGAAAAAGTCGACCAAGCAAGGATTCTGACTCAGAATCCAAGCTGGCCGCGCCCACTGTGATGTGTAAATATGAACTGTTTTCATTGAGTTTGGAGCTTTGGTGGTTTAAATAATAATTTCAGTCACTCGTATCACTGCAGTACTTTGCTGTTTTGAGGCCAATATTGAAAAAATACTTGATTTAGCGAGCCTTAATGTCCCTAAGGTTGTAACGGAAGAGAAATCATAACATAAAATGAAGTGCAAATTTCAAAAATTTAATTAAAGTGGCAGCATTTTCAAAGATGAGGGAATAGTCATAATCATAATCCACCAAGTCCGACACGTGAAACATAATAATACGCTTCAAGCTCGGACGTGACGTCAAATCCGAGGTCAAAGTGGGAGTCAGAAAATAATCGAACGCAGGGTTATACTTAAAATTTTGACTGTTGAATCTGAGGGCTTGAAAACGAGTGCTGAATATTTAAAAGGTGAAATTTTTATTATGAATTTGAAACATGTTTTTAGAGTGAAAAACAATCAAAGTGAGAAATTCAGTGGTATTTAAAAATCAAAATCTAATGGAACAAAATATCTTCCACAATAAGACCTTTTACACTGTGCCTAATGTTTTTTTTTCCAATAAATGCTTAATGTACGCTACAAACACACATTGTTCCACTGAATAATTTGTATGAAAACAGAAACAGCTGCCAGGTCCTTTCTTATTAAAACTCATTTGGTCTTTCGATAATTTATGTTATGAGGTTCTTTTCTCAGACCAAGGGTTTGTTTTCATCCCTGACAGTTTCGATGGCTCCCTGCGTTCTTCTTCAGAGTGATCACGTGACGTTGCGGTAGAGAGACAGCGCCAAAACCTGTATAAATCAGCTGACCGGACACGTCACCGCAATATCCCGAGACCAGTCTGAGGAAGAGCGCTAGGGAGGTATGAAAACAAATCCTTGGTCTGAAAAAAGAACCTAATAACCTGGAGTTGTGTTTTATTTCATTCACACAGGTTGAAACATAGAGTAGATCTGAAAATAGCTTAAAGGTTGTATGGAGGATTTTTTTTTGTTTCAAGTTGTCAATGATAGATTATAGAGATGCAGTAGCCTTGTAATTATGATGACCAAAAAAAAGAGAATAAAAATTCATCAACTCTGGACGTGGTGGGGCTAAACATTTGCCAATAGATAACGACACTGCCTCGTTATCTGTGAGCTGACAGGCTGTCAATCAATCTCCCTACGTTTCTAGTGTAACTGACTTGCCTGCGCCGCCGGTACGTGGTTTACGTACGCCTGTCACGCAGTCCACAGACGCAAGCCGCACAGACGCTGTTTACTCCACCAACGCAACAGTTCTTAGCGGCTTTTTTTGACCTATATCTTCCTCGCAGTTCGCACAAAGTTTGTTGCAATGGCGACAAGAATCCAGGAGCAGTTCGCCGCAAAAGAAAGTCCGTTTTTGAGGTCGCTGAAAGAAGAAGACAAGGGGAAAAGCAGCGAAGCCAAACTAAGGTGATTCTTGAAGATTCATTCCAGTCATGGCGCGACTGAAGCAGACGCAGGGTCTAAAGACTGACGCACTGGTCGCCAAATTACTCCTGGACAGGAAACTTCTGCTTATTATGAAAACGTACTTTATTTCCAAGAGCGAGACAAACGTTTTTCAGGACACGAAAGCGATATCCTATGTCTGAAAACGTAATTTTCAAGGCAAAGAAAGAGTCCGCTTCCTGCTGCGTGTTGTAGCTAGTTCATTCGCACTGAATCTCCGCGCAACTCTTCTCTGCACCCCTTTCCTGCTCCTGTTCCCCGCTGCCCTCCGTTCCCCTGCTCCTCACTTCTAATCTTCCTGCTCTTCTCCCTGCTCCTCACTTCTCGTCCGCGAACGAAATGTCCGCTCCTCACTTCTCCGTCTTGCCTAACCAACACTGTAGTTAGTTGTTTACAAGTCATGTGCAGCGCAGCGGCTGTAAACAAACCTGTTTCTGGTGTAAAGAGGAGGCGGGAGGAGGTGTTTCTACGTAGGAGCTGTGGGGGAGGGGTGGTTTCACGCATGCGCAACATTTGAAAAAGGACAAACAGTCGCTGGATTTCTCGTTCCTTGGAAAATCCTCTATACAACCTTTAATATGGAGCATTTAAAACACACCAAACACTGTACTGAAGCAAAATCTGTAAATCTTACCCCATTCCGGAGCATGTAATAATCCAAGGTTCTTCCAGACTCCAGCCAGATTCCTTTTCTGGGATCATCGTCAGACAGGAATAGCCCGTAATCTGAGGCTGGTGCACACAGACGGATTAGAAGTAACTCACTGATATAAAAAGGCGTAGGGATGGGACAAGATCTCGAGCCACAAAATCTCACGAGACGAAATTACCACGAGATTATGCACACATGCTGAAATTAATCTCATGAGATTTTTTTCCATGTTCTTACATTAGAAAAAAAAAGTAGGGTAAGTAGTGGCGTGTTACATTTTTAAGAAGCTCTAGTCTCAACAGCAGAAATATTAAAGGTGTAGTATGTAAGTTTTTGGTTGGGCGTCTGTCACCTGCTTGTTTCTATGGAGATATCATTGCTCTGCCTGGAATGTTCCACAGTGTGACATGAAACAGCTCTACCTACATCCATCCATTTTCTTCTACTTATTGGGGCCCGGGTCTCGAGGACAACAGTCTAAGCAGGGACTCTCAGACTTCCTCCATCCCGGACACGTCCTCCAGCTCCTCCATTGGGACCCCGAGGCGTCCCAAGGTCGACCCAGAGACATAGTCCCTCCAGCGTGTCCTGGGTTTTCCTCGGGGCCTCCTTCTGGTGGGACATGCCCGGAGCACGACCTCGGGAGGCGTCCAGGAAGCATCCAGAACAGATGCCCGAGCCACCTCAGCTGCTCCTGTCAATGTGGAGGAGCAGTGAATCTACTCTGAGCTCCTCCCGTGTGACTGAGCTCCTCACCCTATCTCTAAGGGAGCGTCAACCACCCTGCAGAGGAAACTCATTTTGACCACTTCTATCCATGATCTCGTCCTTTCGGTCAATACCCAGAGCTCATGACCATAGGTGAGGGGAGGAACGAAGACTGATGATACCTCTTCACCACAACGGTCCGATACAGCGACCGCATCACTGCTGACGCTGCACCGATCCACCTGTCAATCTCACACTCCATCCTCCCCTCACTAATGAACAAGACCCCGAGATACTTGAACTCCTTCACTTGAGGCAGGGACTCTCCACCCACCCAGAGAGGGCAAGACACCTTTTTCCGATCGAGAACCATGGTCTCGGATTTGGAGGAGCTGATTTTCATCCAAGCCGCTTCACACTCGGTTGCAAATTGCCCCAGTGCTGCAGGTCTGGGTTTGATGAAGCCAACAGGACAACATCATCTGTAAACAGCCGAGATGCAGCTCTGCCTTACATTTACTAAATTACAGGTGGGTTTAGATTATTTTAGACCTTAAAATCCCTAGAAAAACAGGTATTCTGACTCTGAGTGGTATCGCCACTCCACAGATCTGACCTGTAACTTGATCTGTTTTGGAAGATAAAAAGGTTTATAATGTCATACGGTGAAACATTCCAGACAAAACAATAACATCTCCACGGACAAAAGCATTTGACGGACCGTCCACTAGAAAAATTACACAACGCAAAGTAAGTAAAAAAATTGTGAGCTCAAAATTACAAAGTGGATTATACAATTTATGTCAAAATCTTGTCTTGTCTCGTTCTCGTAGATCCAATCTCATGTCTCGTCTCATCTTGTGGAAATCATAACTCATCCCACCCCTAATAATAAAAGGTACTGTATGTCTTATATTTCATTGTACCGACCTTGTCCGGACTGCGCTTCGGGGACTCTCTCTCGTATGATCCTGCAGGCGTCGTACACCGGTGTTGAGGGTTCGAACTGCATCGTCTTCACCACGTTACACTGGCGGACGCAGATCTTCAGCGACAGGGCCACCATCTTGCGTTTTCTGCACTACACACCTGCACAGTCAGAGAGAGAAGGACTCCGTTAGGGTTTTTGTGGATACTGCGTTGAGTATTTTGAGCTGATGGGTTGTTTGAGAAACTTGTACACTTGTTTAGAGCTTTGGATAAAGGTTTGCATCTCTTTAAAGAAAACAAATTCCGCTAATTACCACACCAACTTTATTTATAAAGCTCTTTAAAAACTTTACAACTGGCCAAACTACTGTAAACAAACATTGAATCGGCAAGTACAATCACAGTACAAGAAAATACACAACACAAACTACTAAAAAACATAGAAACAATAAGATACTCAACAACAAGAAATGTACATCTCACTTGTTAAAAGAAAGTGAAAAAAGGTGCGATTTAAAACGGGTACAGACTCCACCCGTCTAATCTCTAATGGCAACTGGTTCCACAATTGAGGAGCAGAAAAAAAAAAAAAAAAAACAGACGAAGCTCAAGTTTAGTCTTTGGAAAGTTGAGCTGGAGTTGGACTGCTGACCCGAGAATGCGAGAGGGGGCGTAAGGGTGGATCAGGTCAGCGAGGTAAGAGGGCGTTAGGCTGTGCAAACACTTAAAATTAAATAAAATAATTCTAAAATCGACTCTAAAACACTCTGGGAGCCAATGGAGAGAAGCTAACAACAGGTGAGATGCTCTCGTGTTTCCAGGTTCCAGTTAAAAAATTCGAGCCGCTGAGTTTTGGACCCGATGCAAACGGAAAAGTGCATTTTGGCTGACACCGACATAAAATGCATTAAAATAATCCAATCTAGTCGCCACAAATGCATGTATGACACTTTCGAAATGTTCTGCTGACAAAATAAGTTTCATTTTGGCCAGTTGTCTTAGCTGGAAAAAAAACTACACATTAAATCAACTTTTCAGAGTTTTTAGAGGTGCATTGTGTAACTTTTCTGGATCCGTCAAAAGCTTTTCTCCATGGACATCTTATTGTTTTGTCTGGAATGTTTCACAGTATCGTACTAAATGTTTCTATTTTCATGGAGACCAAACCAGACCACGTTACAGGTCTGATCTGTGGAGAGGCGACCCCGCTCACAGTCAGAATGTTTGTTTTTCTAGGTATTTCTAAGCAGTAAAAAAACACCTATAAATTGAATAAATGTAATGTAGAGCTGTTTAATGTCGTACTGTGGAACATTCCAGGCAGAGCAATGGCATCTCCGTGGAAACAAGCAGGTGACGGACCCCCAACCAAAAAGTTACATTGTGTGCCTTTTTATAGTTGTTTCTCCTTCTCATTTACCTGTTCAAAGTTGTTTCATGCATGTTTGAGCAATACACATATAATAAGGTGAAAATACTCTATGTCTGCTGCTAATTATGAAGCATTTTATTGTCAGATAATCAGGAGGTGCCTGTTAGCCTGCCATTTGTTATCAGCTTTACAGTGTAGGGTTGTCAGAAGTATGAAAAATCAGCTACTAATCCACACTAAAGGATCAGAATTAGTAGTAGTATCAGAATTACATACACATTTAAACAAGTATTGAAAGTAAAAAAGTCCAATTCACAGAAATGAACCTTTCGTGAATAACTTTAGAACAGGAGTCTCCAACCTGTAGCTCTCCACTCCCTTCCAAGTAGCTCGCCAAGAGACTTCTGAATTATACCGTAATGTGCTGAATAACTTACATTCGCTGAATTAAATGCCCACTTGTCGGGGCTCTTATATATATATTCTCAATTTCTTGTGACGACCAAAATGAGTAGCTCTCTAGTATTTTTGGTTTTGTAAAAGTAGCTCACCAGAGTAAAATGGTTGGAGACCCTTGCTTTAAAATGATCTTGAGCTGTATCAGGACAAGTCAAAGGCTACGTTCAGACTGCAGGGCTTAACGCTCAATTCAGATTTTTTTGTGAAATCCAATGTTTTTGGGAGGTCGTTCACATTTCCAATTAAATGCGACTCGTGTGTGATCTCCAATGTGAACATTAAATGGCCCAAAAGTGTCCTGCATGTGCACTGGAGACACGACGACGTCAACCGCAGCGAGCGTGATCTGTGTTTACGGAAGTTGTCCAAACATGGACATGAGCATTGAACACTTGGAGATTTTAAAGTTCCTCTCGTACCGGAGCCAGAACATGAACAATTTACTTGTTTTAAGGAGGAGATTGAGAAGGAGAAGGACGAGGTTTTTGGCAGTGGTGTTTTGTGGGACAGCGGTTCAGTCCGTTGAAAGGAACGTGTGGATGTGGAGACGGAGCCAAGAGTGGTGAGTGGTGATGTGCTTCACTTCAGTCACACGGAGTTCATTAACAATTTTCGCCTACTTCAGCGCAGAATAGTGACGTTTGTTGCTTGATGATAACGTGTAGGTGGATGAATGAGCTTTGACCGTTCAGACTGAAGTCGCATGTCAAAAGATCAAATATGTATCAGTTTCAGGACCACAGATCCAAGTGTCCTGGGTCACATTTGAAAAAATCAGATCTGTGTCATTCAGACTGTCATTAAAAGATCAGATACAGGTCACATATTTTATTTTATTTTTTTTTTATGTATTTTTTTTATTTGAGACAGGGACAGCGCACAATTTTCGCATTAACCTTGAGAGGAGAGATGCATTGTACATCAGGTTGTAGCATCAGTGCTAATTTCCACCTGTCGTCCCTGGACAGGTTCATTGATTGATTGTATTTAACTGACCTTGTCTATCAACTGTTTATGTAGACCTGGAGCATGTTTTGGGTTGATGGGGGAAACCGGAGCACCTGGAGGAAACCCATCCAGACACGGGGAGAAACATGCAAACTCCACACAGAAAGGCCCTGGGCGACCTGGGGATCGAACCCAGAACCTTCTTGGTGTGAGGCATGAGTGCTAGCCACTCAGCCACTGTGCCGCCTCGAGGCCAAAAAATCGGATTTGGGTCACTTCAGGCTGCAGACTGAACGTAGCCTAAGAGCACATAGGACCACAACCCCTACCTGGAAAACTGAGGGATTATTACACAGATATAAACCCACATGACATGGTACTATAAAAGAAAGTATTACGATTTAATGTTGAAAATCACATTCTATTGTCTAAATCAGGGGTGTCCAAACTTTTTTCATCAAGGGCCACATTTCTAAATGCAGATCAAGCAGAGGGCCAATCGAGGGCTGTAGATTGGAACTCAATACGATAATAATTGAAATATGTGCATGTTTAACACTTTAGAATGAGCCATCAGTCCTTTATTCACTCTAAAATCCTCAAAACCACACATTAAATCTTCAATATTAGTGTTATCAAAGTAGATTTTCAAAAAACTTGCAGTAAAAAGTTCATTTTTAATTGCTGCAAGGTAATTTGGGCCAAAGCACCTGGAAGCCTGAGGGCCAAGAAAAATTTGTCTGAGGGCCGCATTTGGCACACGGGCCGTAGTTTGGGCATGCCTGGTTTAAATAAAAGGTTGTTTTTTTTATTATCATTGGGTTATCCAAATCTGTTTTGAGTATCAAGTCTCGAAATTGAGTTTGAAATGTTTGTATCGTGACAACAAAACGACCGGAAATCTCTACTCTGGTGAAAAGCTCTTATAAACTCATCATGATGAATAATTAGGACGCTCAGAATGCATAAATTAAGTGAAGATTAAGTTTGGACCACTACACACTGTTTCAAATGAACTACGTCTGCTTTTTCACGTTTTTAAGACAGTGAAAATCAGGAATAGCGCCTTTAAGTTTATATTGCTGATTCGCCTCTTGTCCATTCTTTCAGTTTTATATTAAGTTCAATATCCAGTCTCACTTTACACGCAGTAACAATAACAGGATGAGAACAGCATTATGACATTTGTAGCTCTATTTCCAGTATTAAGAAAATATGAACCATGTTTCCTTTCCTTCCATTTACAATTGGAGGTTAGGACAGTTTCCAGGAGTAGAATAAATATTATATCTATTGTGTATTTACAGGAATTATTCTGCAATACAATGTCCTTTCTTTTATGACTGAGTTGTAAAGTGCTGTTGACGCACTTTCTCATATTTTCAAATATATTTCCATGATTATTTACACTGTAGATTCCTACCCAGGTCATCAAAACTATAAATTAACACAAATGGAATGTAATAAACAAGAAATAAACTCAAAATAAGTCAAAACTGTTTTCAGATTTTAATTATTATGCTGTTTTCTGATCTATGTTATCATGTTGTTTCCTCATCGCAAACAGACCTGGAGTTGTGTTTTGTTTTATTTGCACATGTTTAACTCACAAACCCTGCATGTTTAGGCTGAGTTCTTCTCTCAAACGGAAAAACACGGTTGTATTTTGTGATGTGATGTGGTAAGAATGTTTTTAAACTCCATACACTTTCACTATAATCATTTTCATAATTTAATTTCAGCTCTGGAATTGCCAATCTCTGCTGAACAAAAGTAAAAGTTAACGTGAATATGACCGCTTCATGACATCACGAGGTGGAACAGAGCGTTTTGAGCTTTGGAGATGTAGACAGACTGTTAATAAAGAGTTACTCAAACACGTGAATGAAACAAAAACACAACTCCAGGTCTGTTTTTGAGGAAGAAACAACATTATAACATGGCTTCAAACTCACAAGAGTCCATTTTGCATAATAAAGCTCTGAACACTGTTTTGCATTTTGCATTTCTTGACCCTGATGCGACACAACTGTGAAGTGAAGTGAAGACCATGCATGGAAATCATTGATCTTGCGTCATAAATTTTATGTCTTCCATATGACTCTAAAATGTATAATAATAATAATAAACATAGCTGCAATCGGCAATGATTGGCCCTTGCGTGTGCCTATGCCGCACCCTGCAAATGCAGCGCCCCGCAAATGCCACGACATGCAAACGCCATGCCCTGCAAAACACCAAGCCCCGCAGATGCCGCACCTTGCAAAACGCCATGCCCTGCACTATCCCTAATAACCCTAAGCTTTCCTTGTGTTCGATTATCTTTCCGAATCGGTTTTCCGAGGAAGTTGCCTAGC